CTTTAAAAAAAAAAAAAAAAACAAAACAAAATAACCCAAAAAATCTCTCCCCAGGAGAAGTCCCTGCTAGCTGAGATTTTTTCCAAAACCAAGTTTCATGCTTACAGTATCTTTGCAGTCATGTTATACACCCTTGAAAAATAAAGGCTCATGTTGAGAATGGTGACAGGCCCTTAATTATAGAGGTGTTAACTGGTGACACTATTTTTAATCAGAAAAAAACAAAAGCCCCACAAAACCTCATAGCTTATACTGAAAGTTTGATTCATGCTCATTTTGTTCATTTAAAAATACTCTTTGGAAACTGTGTCAACTCCTGCAGACAACTTAGTGATACATCTTTTCCTGTTAAAATAAAGATAATTCATATTCACCTCTACCCCATGCTAAGCTCTACTACTAATATACACTTCATTACTTGCTCATGTCACCATCTAACACATATCTTTACATTCTTCTACATATAGTGTCCAGGGCTTATTTTTCACCAAACAGAATTTGATAACTATTACACTTAGGAGTTTTTCTTGAGGATTTTTTTTTTTTGGTGTTCTAGCCTTTTCATTGCAACTTAAGAGTGATATTAATAGTTCAGACTTTTTCCATGCTAACTTAAGAGAAACTTTTCATAAAGTTTCTTCCCATTAAGGATTTTAAAATCTAAACTTGCTTAGATATCAAAACTGAAAACCAGAAGAGAGATTAGAGGCACCTGTCATTTTAAAATGGTTTCTGCTACTTTAAAATGCATTTAAAACTTGTACATACGACACTTAGGATTCTAACTTTTACATTGCTGCAATCAGATTCTAATTCAAAATCTTGCAAATAAACATGAAAAATAAGCCACTGGTCATGAATTCTAACGATTACATTCAAAGCTAGCCTTTAAAAAAATTAAAAAAGTTACAGGCAAAACATACTGGTTTATGTACTCACTAGCTTATCAGGCTACAATAGGCATGTTTTAAGTATAAAAAAGCAGACAATTCAGATTTAAATAAGACTATGTGAAATCAGAAAAAACCCTTAGATTTCACTATTTTTTAAAAAAAGAACACCTATAATTACTTCCCATCCTACAGCTACAGTTAAACCAACTAACAAAAATAATCAAACTATTTTTGACAAACAAAAGTTAGGCTAGAATATGTGGCAACAATCAAAGTTCATATATGTTTCTATGTAAAATGACTCATGATTTACTATAACATAAAATATGAACAAGAGCACTTTGTGACTAATGAAAGAGCTACTAGTAGAAACACTTAATGCCAAACAGTCTTCAGCCCTCCTTTAAGTCATATCTCCAAATCAGTATTGACTTCTTTTGACCAGATACATCATTTTTGGCTTGTCACCCCAGTATGTCATGTTTTACCACTTGCCACAGGCAGCAGGAGACAACTAGCTGAGCAAACTACAAGCAGTGACATGCAGAAATTAACTCTCAAATCTGAGTACTTAGATAAAATGATATGCAAGCACACACTAGGACAAAAGGAATGGCATTCGTCATCCAAACAGGCTCATCATCCCTCCCCACCCCCCTTGAACAGTAGTTGCAACAGCAATAGAAAAAGATCAAGAAGATGTCTGTTCTTCAGAGTCAACTGTGGAAAAAAGTCAGCAATATATAACAGCAGCGATGGACAAGGAAGAGCAAAACGAAAGAATCTTGTTGAATATTTGTTCATTTACTTTTTCTGAACACAAGCCAAAAGTGTGCCACACTGGCTTGTTCTGCACTTCGGATACAGATGTCCTATTCTCCTTAGATCCTTCACAGATTTAGAATTCAGTCTCCCTGAGGCCCCTATAACCAAGTAAGAAAACTCTCTTTATCTAGCTTGGTGGCTGCCAAGACAGATTCCATGTCATTAAGGATGTCAGAGCTCAAAGCCTCTTGCAGACTTGGCATCAGTTCTTCTCCTTCTATATTCATCCCATCTCCTTCCAGTGTCCCAAGGTCCACATTTGTCCCTGGAATGGCTTCAAGGTAGTCTGGGAAACGGTTCTGATGGGATGGTATGTTACTTTGGCTGATACTGTCACCTAGTTATAACACAAAGCAAGATGGATATTAAATATACTGGAAGTACCAAACCCACAATTTATCAGGACAACTGGTTAAAGGTTAATCCTGTATCTCTTGCATCACACAAGCAACATGATTCATAGAAATCCATCACAAAAACCAAAGGTGACTTGACTGCATGCAGAGGTACAAAGAACATGCCTTTGTTTCAACCTTTTCACCTATTGACCCAAATCCCTACAGATCTTTGATGTCATTTAGCATGTTTTAATTTTTATGCTTAAAGGAAAAAGACAAGACTGAGTCGAATATTGTTTGGAGCTGTATTAGCACCACTGGATGAGGTACTATTCTTAGCTCTGAACAATATTACTGAAAAAAGCAAATGGACACTCAAATTCCATATAACAACAGGAGTGACACTATTTATGAGCAATCCCCCATCCTCCCAACAGAGCTGATTACATGTATGCTTTTCACAAATCTAACCATAATATTTCTGTTATAGAAATAGAAGAAAGCGTAACAGTGCCAGAAGTATCACAGCTTCTCAGAGTTGCTTGTTTTCATTGCAAAGGGGCTAAGCATTTGATGGACACAAGTATATTTGGAAAATATGCACGAAGGATGTACACAAAAACAAACCTGTATCCATCTCATCAACACTGTTCAGGAAGTCATCGGGGGTTCTGGGTACACTATAACTGCTCATGCTAAGTCCACTATCTGTGCTTTCATCTCTGGAGTGATACGTTCCACTGTAACAGAAAAAAGGGAGCAAAAAATGAGGGTAGAGTACTGAAGAAATTCAAATAAATGCTTCTTTCTGAACCAGTTCAAGGGCTCTGAAAACATTGCTGTCATGAGAAATGCTCTATTCTAATCAAAACCTGAAGCCTTTGTGAGACACCTATTTTGTGCAGACCTTTTCCAATTAAAACCACATTATTTAGATTCAATTTAACTTGATGAGAGCATACTTAAGCAGCTTTAAAAAACTTCCTACCTGTGTTCTGCATAGTTTAAAACTTTTCACACCCACCCACAGCTAAAAACCATTAGAAGCATATCACAGATAGTCCCTAATAATAATAATAAAATTAATAATATTATTGTTAATAATAATAATAGCGTACCCTTTCACACTTCTATAAGGATAAAAAAAATATTTCTCATTACTAATGTCCCCTTGTTTAATCAACCACTGAAGTGTATTTTTAGGTCACTACTGTTATAAATAGGAGCTATAGTTGGAAGTCCTTTAGCGATTCTTCAATTGCTTCCCGCTGTTGCATTATGACTAGCTCAGTCATACATGTCATGGCGAGGGAGTGCACTAATATAAATCAAATACTGGTACAGAAGCCATCTTGTAAACAAACCCTGTTCAGAACCATCTCGTTGACAGAACAGTTAACAAAGCAGTGATGGCATGGGGCCTTACGTGCATTTGCTTTCTTACTGCCAGTGGAGCGAGCAAGACCAAGAAAGCGGCAGTGGGAAATTTGGGATTGGGGTGGGGAGGAGGTAGGTCAGTGTACTAAGTAGCAAGGTTTTCATAGCAGGGGGTTGCAAGGGTGACATCTGTGAGAAGACACCAGGAGCTGACCCCATGTCAGACACAGCTGGTTCCAGCTAGCTCCAAAATGGTCTTGTTGCTGCTCAAAGCTGAACCTGTCAGTGACGGTGGTGGCACCTCTGTGATAATGTATTTAAGAAAGGGTAAAAAAACCCCACTGTGCAGCAGCTGGGAGAGAGGAGTGAGAAAATGTGAAACCGCCCTGCAGACACCAAGGTCAGGGAAGGAGGGGGAGGAGGGTGCCAGAGCAGAGATTCCCCTGCAGCCCATGGAGAAGACCATGGTGAGGCAGGCTGTCCCCCTGCAGCCCACAGAGGACCACGGTGGAGCAGATCTCCACCTGCAGCCTGTGGAGGACCCACGCTGCAGCAGGTGGATGTGCCCTGAAGGAAGCTGCAGCCTATGGAGAGTCCATGCAGGAGCAGGCTCCTGGCAGGAGCTGTGACCCATGGAGAGGAACCCAAGCAGGAGCAGGTTTTCCGGCAGGAACTGTGGCCTGCATATGCAGCTGTAGAAATATACCATTATCTGCCTCCTCCTGCATCTCCTAATAGCCAAGCTTCACAAAATATTTTCAAAAATCTCAGTTTCTTCAGGTTCTGGTAGCATTCACTGAGAATCCCTACTGATGTTCAAGCTTGAATACTAAATGAAGACCAACTTGACTTACTATTCAAATCAGCATTTGAGGACATACTGATCCTTCTCATAATGTGCTCATGAAGTATATAATGTATGCCTTTTTGTCCAGTATGAAGAACCAAACAGATGATGGTTGAACAGCTAGTCAACACTGGATGCAAGTAGAATGCCATCAGCCATGAATATATATATAATTAGATTTCATGAAGACATCTTTGCCATACAAGAAAGAAACATAACATTTCTTTCTAGTTAAATCATAAATATTTCCTTTTTTTAGATTGATCTAAAAATAGTATCACCACACATATGATAACAATCCTAATAATTAAGCTATTTAAAACTTCTGTGAAAAAAATACTGGTTTACTTTGTGGGACAAAATACTAAAACCAGAACTAAGACTACGCTGAACTAAATCACTCTAGTTGAGAAGGCTTTTTGGCCGCTGCTCTCACACTTGGAATGTCCAGCCCTTCTCTTCAAATCACTCCTTAATACACATTTCCTCTTTCTTCAACAAGGATTTCTTCATTTAGTAGTCACACCACCCAAAATTACTCCATGCAACTAAATTGCATTACCCAAAATAGAGTGGATGCTTCTTCAACAAATACTTGTTAAAATATGTGTATACAAAAGAAGAAATCCCAATTTAGGAGTTAAACAGAGAACTACCGTCACTACCAATATAAATGTAATAGGCAAAAATATATAAACAGAGTGGCAAACCAAAAGGTGAAATTATCTAATAAAGTCTGCGTTGTTGGATGTCCCATTTAAAAACTAAAATATACCACAATGACAGTAAGCACTGAAGACAGCAGGCAGAAGATTGACCATGTAAATGAAAACACTACTGTACATTTTCTCATATTGCTCCAACGTAGCAATTATTTTCTGAGATTTTTTGGATGTTGTGATTATGTAAGGCAGTGGAAAATATTCAACTACGTAGACTATGGATATCCAACTTTGGTACCTAAAGTTAGGAGGACTGTCTCACCAGGAACTTTATATATACCCTATAAAGACAGAAAGAAGCATTTCTGGCAGTCTGAACTTTAACATAAGGGACATCACGGAGATCTTTAGGGCAAAACTATTGGACTGCTGTATCTAATTCAGAGATAGTAATGCATACCCAGAAATGTCCTTTTTTTAAAATCCCTTTCCCTTACCCATATGCCAGAATTAAAGCGTGGCGATGTACATAAAGTTATCTAGAAGGGGACAATGCTCAGACCAAAATGCAAATTAAGATATTCTGAACTCAAGTCAGGTACAGATTTTCAGTATTTTGTGTGGGGTAAGGGTTACAAAAAAAGCCAGTTACACATATTTGCAACTAGGCAAGTAGTATCTTTTTGTACTTTACAGCAAATAAATCAACCTGCCAAAAATTTAAAAACAACACAAATTTGCCTTTTCTAGTTTTTTTCCTGTTTCTAATCAAAGGTAAAGATCCATCAGTTTATATTTCATGTGTGTAGACACACAATGGATAAACTGCATTAGTCCACTGCCATGGCCATTTGAAACCTAAAGATGCGTTTCTTTCAGGTCAGAAAACAGGTTTTGAAGATGTGAGGATGCTACATCATTTAAGAACGAATTTCAAAAAATACCTGGGCTCAACGTATGATGGCAACAGCCTTCCAGAAATCCAAGCTAGTATGTTACTATAACACATCAAGGCCATCATCTAGCTACAGAGGCTTCTCACAGGAAAGCAGGTCAGTTTTAAGATTTCTTGTTCTTCTTATGCCTTGGGACAGGATGAGCACAGTTAAGGCACACACCAGATTCCAGGATGAATGTTCCATGGAGGACAATCCATCCCAAAAAAATGATGTTTTCTAATCTGATTTGTCTGTGTAGGAGAGAAGGCTTCCTGAAGGGCTTAACCAAAACTTGGAAATACCACTTACTTCCTTAGGGAGTTTAACAACACAACACCACTACTTTCTTCTCCACATGCAAGGCTTTTTTTTTTTTTTTTTAACTTGGTTTTCTCCAATATATACACAGCACTCTGTACCTTGAGACAGAAACTCTTCTCCCACTCTCACAGTAGCGCACACAACACTAACACAAACAATACTTCATGCAGTAGGAGAAAAACCTTGAGAGCAACAGATGTTATTTACATAACCTAAGCTATATGAACGACAACAGATTCCACTGGCAAGATGGAGAGTATGTTCTTGCACTATCTCCACTGAACTTTACTAATTTTGAGAATGAGAGTGAGGATAGAGTACATGAAATGACGGAGAAGTCTCCTGGAAAAGGCAGAAAATGAAACAAACGTAAGCTAAGCTGATGGAATATCAATAACTGGGAAAGTTACATACAATGACGGTACATCTTTAGGGATGAAGAACCTAAATGTGAGATATCAGCAACATTAAGTTATTTAAATACGGGAAGGGATTTATAACTGCAGCAAAAGTTTACAAAGGTTTTAACAGTTTTCAGTATCTAAAATTACAGCAGGTATTTAAGCTTGCCCTATTCCAAAATCATGCCAGTTCTAACATGAAGTGGACTTCTTACCTTACAAGTACGTTTGAAACTGTATTGGTGGCAAAAACCATGGAAGTTAAGACTTACATTGAAAGAATAAAGATTAATTTTATGGGGTTTTCCATGAGTATAACAATGTGCCACTAAAAAGAAGGATGAGCATGTTGTTATACTTCATGAGCACTTACAGTCAGCATCCTAAAGTTAGACTAACATTTCAAGGTAATGCAGCAAAGTAGCGATGAACTCTGACAGAATACATAATTTTTCTTTTACGGTAGGGGATACTGAGTTGATATCAGTTTAGAATGCTGGCAAAATATAGTCCAAAAGAACTAAAAAATTAACTACTCCAACTTAAGATCAACTACTTGATACTGCTGAAATGTTAGATGTTTACACCATTAATTAAAAGTTTACGTGGCTTGGAGATTTGATTGTTTTACCATTTTCATCTTTTCTTTCTGGTGTGCTAAGCAAAAAATACAGATATGACTTATCTCAAGCTGCAGCAGTTGCTCTAAAGTTGTAAGGGTTAGTATGAAGCATTTGCAAGCTGTAATTAGAATAGTATTTCCAACAAAACAAATATTCCAAATCAGAGGAATCAAGAAGTTATATGAAAAAGACTAGTCTATACTGTAAAATTCTAAATTTTGCATTAAAAGACCCATTTCAAAATAATATAGAATTTAAAATGAAACATGCCACTATTTGCAGACCTAACATTAGCACAGTAAAAATACTGCTAAATTACATACCTGAAGTGAAGGGGAGGGGTGAATAGAGAAACCTTAAAATGAACCTCAAGGTGTAGTCCTAAATGTGCCTCACAGTTCATTTGATCTCATAGCAAGCTATTCACAAATTCCTCTGAGTCAGTAATTTGAAATGACTGTTAGTCAACAGATTATGCAGCAGCAAACATGTTATGACTTTGAATAAAAAACCTTCCTACAAGTCTGAACAGACTACTTCCTCCCACAGGAGACAGCTTTTAATCCTCAACTTTTACTAGACTTGCCATTTAAGGAAAGATTCATTTACAGCTGTGGCTTTTGGCACAGACAGATGTTCAAAATAAACTATTACATGTACCAAACAGAATTTTAAATCAGTTTTTTTCCCCGCTAGTAGCTATTCCTACAAACCTGTTAAGAAAAGGATCAGAACTATTTGTAGTCATTGTTCTCAGTTCCTGAGACATTCCAGGAGATGACACGGGATTTTGAGATCCACCGTCTTGTTCCATTGTTGGAAGCTGGCTACGGAGAGCCAATTCCTAGAACAGGGGGAGGGGGAGAAAGAGAGATCATGTTAGGCATTTGAATGCACTGTTCAGATACATAAACACATTACTTTACAGGTAATTGGTGCTTTTACTGTTCTCAGTTACAAGATTTAAATTAAGTTTCTGAAGACAAAGGAAGAATTTTTACTGGCTTCAATGATAATGAAAGTTCCACCAGTCAAGCCCAGTAGTACAAAGACGTCACTGTAAATATATTTATGGATATAAAAATCTGTATGTTTACATAAATCTTTTCTATTCACTTCAGTATCCTTTTGCTAAGTCTATTCTTAAGATCAAAAGAATATTTGTTAATACTATCTGACTCTTAAGATGCATCTGTCTAGCTCTGCTGACTAGCACCTTTTCCCCCTATTTCTTTTAAGTTCTGATTTAGTCCCTGGTTTCCTTTTTACCTTGCTTATTTCATTCAGCGAAGTTTGAAGTCCTTCCCTGCAAGTTCCCATTCACTCCTCCTGTTTGAGGTGCGCGTTTTGAAATTTCTGATTGATAAAATCAGTGATTTGTTCCATACCTAAATCTTAAAGCTCTTCAAATCCCTAGCAATTTCTTAGTAAAACTAAGACACTGCACTTCTGAGGTTACGAACCTAGATTACATATATAATTTTTACGCATCTGACTGTGCACCAACTTGAATCAATCCATCCATAAAGCTTGTCATTATTATTTAATTAAAATAAGTTTTAACATAAAATACACAAAATTAAAGGTGGGTAGAGATAAGCAGCATTTTATGTAATTTCCAGTGGGGCCCCCCCCTCCCTTTTTAAACAGGCGATCCATGAGTTACACATGTGAAAAATACCATAATTTTCTTCAAGCACTTCTAAAACATCACCAATGGTTCACCAAGTCTGTGCTTTGTTAATGCAGAGACTGGTAAAGAAATCTATTGACTATCTTGTCAGCGTTATTAGTAGTGTGTGATTTCCAGGCTGTTCCTGGGAAGCTAATTTCAGGCAAAGCCAGTCTTGTCAGTCTTGACACTACTCAGTATTTCTCACTTGTAAAATGAGAGGTCTTCATCCATTCTCAATTATGAGCCTAAGGACTGTTGTAGACTTTTAACATTTAAAAATAATCTTTCTCCAATTCTTCTTCAAAGTGATTTCTTTAAAAAAAGTCTAAGGTTATTTTATTTTCCAGCAGATTGTGCCAAATATGGAATGTTTCCCTACCACCAGGTTTTTCTCCTTTTCTAATCTGCATATGCTTCACTCCCATTCCTGTGGATTATTATTATACATATTCCTTTAATACCAAAATTTCATGTCTTGTACCAGAAGGTTTTCTCACTCCAGTTGATTAGACCTTTGCAGAAAGTGTACAAACATACCATTGTTTTGTGTGTTCATCACACCCAATTGCCTGCTCCAAGTAAATGCAGTCCTCTGCTCACCACCACTTACTTGGCCACTGTTCTAATAAATAGTATTAATACTCCTTCTCATTTTCAGATGGTAGGCACCTTTTAATAATTTCTGTAGGCTTATCCATATGATTTTCATTTGCTTATGTAATAAAACCAAGTGCAAAGACTATATAATGAGTTCTTACATCACCGTCTTTATGCCCTTCCTCTGGAGATCACAATTCTTCCAAATGTCGCCTAAGCCTTCCCTTCTCTGAGAAACTGCCTTCATGTGAGGTAGCTACTTTTAACTAATTCTATCTTGCTATATGCCCAATAAAAAAGGAGGAAGGGAAAATAAATTAAAAAGAAAAAAAAAAAATCACTTGATTTCACACCACTGCTTCTGGAATCTTTTCAGCCTTGGGTTCATACCTGGAATACAGCACACCTTCCTTCCCCGCTCTGATAGCAGAGCTGCCAATCAATGAGTGCTCTGCTCTTACGTAGCTACAACTACCTGGCTGTGGCCAGAATACTCTGTCCTTTTTCCCTTCCCTCTTGCTTTGATCTGTGTGTTGCATTTTTATTTCCTTGGGCTGCAGTCCCCAACTAGGATGAAGAGGAGGGGCCAAAAGCGCCAGCAGCCTGAGGAAGAAGCTTCATCACATACCAGTGCCTCAAAGAGTGATGACAAAGTGAAACCAACAGGGAAGCATTTCTGTATACAAAGTGCTAAAGTGACGTATCTCATTGTGTGGTAGGCCTGGTCTTTCCAATCAGCACTGCCTCGTGATGCAATAGTAATTTTAAAAAAAAAAAAGGAAAAAGAAAAAAGAAAAAGAGAGAGGGGGGCAGGGGGGAGACAGAGAGAGAGAAAGAGAGAAAGAGAGAAGGGGAATCCATACAGGTCCCCCTCTTCAAGAGCCACTGACACCAGAAAAGAAAAAAACCTCTTCTGTACCTTAAGAAAAAAAAGTCAGTACAAAGGAATAAGCAATTTGGAAAAATGGGAAAGTTACCTTTGTATTTTCTATATCCTTAGAGGTTAGGTGAGATTGATGTTTCATCAATAGCATGAACTTAAATAGTATGGTAAAAATAAACGTAGCTCAGATACTAGCCAGATAAAAAAAGAAAAATCACATTTTACTGAAGGCCCGCTAAAGAGAGATGTATAAATCATGACAAAGAATTGTATTTTGCCTATTCTTTGGCATGTACAGTGTAGTGAAGTAAGTTTTTTTTTATATTAGTACTGCTTTTATCCTTGTTTCAGCAACAACAGTGGTAAAAGTGCAAAACTACAACTATTTTTAACTATAAGTAGCATTAATGCTACTTATTCAGGAGGCAGAACTACAGCACTTCCTCCTAGGAAGAATTTTATTCCATTACTCATTCAAGTAATAAATTTATGTCAATCTGGGAGTCTAAAAGAGAAAGGAATTGCCAAAAAAGACGAGCTATTCAGAAACAAATACAGAGAAATTTTTAATCATTCTGTAAGATAAGCAAAGTTTTCTACAAACCCTAAAGAATGTATTAAGACTATTTTTCCTAAAAGGTGCACGTAATGGAAGCTAAAGTTGTGTTGCTTGAAGAATGATCCTTTTATTTCTTCTTCCTTATAAAACTGATTTTCAAAAGTTATGTTTCCTATACTTAAAAAAATGTATGGGAGTGTACGAGCCTCTCCCAGCTCCAGAGAGAGCTATGTGAACTCTAAGCTTTTAGTTCATGCTTTAAAATATATCCTTTATTAGAAGTATTTAAAGTCTGGAGGCAAAAATAAAACCATGACAAAATCCTGGCTTAGATTTCTATAACTTGATCTCATCCTATTTTTGTAAGTATGTCAAACTTTAAGTACCTCTGGGAAAATAAAAGCTTAGCATTCCTGTTGTTAACACAAAAGCCGAATTTTGGTTATTGCATAAAAGACCAAAATGATCTGCCATCTCCTTAAGCAAAGTAGTTTTAAAAATAAGGTCAGCATTGTGTAATTTATCTGGCTGACCTTATCCTTTTTTTTTTTTTTTTTTTTTTTACAACTGAATTTTTTACATGAAGTTCCAGGTCATTCACACCATGTCCTAATAAAAAGTCAGCATTGTTTAATTTTTTGGGGTGCCTTTTTCTTTTTTTTTTTTTTTTTTTTTTTAACAACTGAATTTTTTACATGAAGTTCCAGGTCATTCACACCATGTCCTAATTAACTTTATAAAATCACTCTTTTCAGAGCATTTTTATCTTCATCACGCTTTTGAGTAAAGGTAAAAGACTCCCTTGTGCAACTCACGTATCATATTCTTACTGTATTAAACATAAGATATGCTACTCGGATTGATATATAATTGGTGTTTTTTAGTAAATTTACTTTAAAAGGACCAATTGTAACATTTCTGTCCCCAAATACCGCTCAACTATCAAACAATCTACAGGCTTCAATGGGACGGGAGAGAAGTGTTAGAGGAAAGAGGAGACCATGACACTTACGGGCAGACTTTCAGCACCAGTTATTTCTTCAGACTAAGTATTTACGTTCTTGTTTGAGGGCCGCAAAGTTACAGCATATGTACAAAAGAAACAGGGAAGACACATGGACAGATGAAGACAAATGAAGTCAGCAATGAGGAGTTATGCAATTAGTGAAGAGTAAGGGGGAAACATAAATCATTCAGTGTTGCAATCATGAAAACCAGCAAAATTAATTTAGGAGGTGATACTGATAGAGTGATAGTTAATTGTATTGTATACGCTTGGCAAAGAACTCAACGCTACGCACTGTCTTCTGCATAAACATTCACAAAAGCGTTTAGGCAACTCCTTTGCAAGCGCAGGTAGGGCAGCATAAGTTGGAATAGACATTTGTAAATAAAGTCCGGCTTCTTGTCTGGTTTTGCAGTCCTTCACTGTGCCACTGCTTGGTACTCCTCCTTGCTCTCTATCTGCCCACAGCTCCAGTACTGCACCTGCCCAGCCAGGGTGCCTCAGCACCAGTGAGGCAGGTACGTGCCAGCAGGAGCCAGCAATCATGAAGGCCACGCAGAGCTGGATGGCCTCCCTCTACCAAGCTTTGCTGGCTTCTAGCAAAAGCTGTTATTCACGGCCATCCCGCCCTCAGGTCAACATGACTCATATCTTCTGCTGACCAACTGCTTTAGCAGTACTTCTGTGATTTAAGTTTTGCAACTGCAAGCAGCACCAGCGACTCCAGGAAGTCCACTGCAGTGAGCTACAACTCGCATACAGCCACAAAACGTGTCTTGAAGCTATTAGGGGCATAAAAACCAGACAAAGGCAACGAACGCAGATCTGATTTACTCGATAGACTTTTAGGCAAGGTATATATCCTTAAAGATCTACATTCACAAGCAAGCAATAAAATTTTGTTAATCTGTAAAGCTTAGGTACTGTGAGTGGAATCAGAGCTTCTGAATTTTCAAGGTACTCGTATAATACAAGTATCTTTCCTACTGTGTAACTTCTAGCTACCAATGCTCAGCATTTCCCACTTAAACCAACAGAGAGTGTGAAACAAATTCTACAGCTCTTGCCACACAAACTAATAAACAAAGTTTCACTTAGATCTATGGTTTTCAATAAGGAACGAA